TGGTTCTTGGGGTTGTTGCAGGTAAGGGAATGTACTGAAAATATACCTCTGGTGAAACTGAGATTGTTCATTATTTAACATTTTCCTTTATGAAGTCCACCAGAGGTCTCACTCCTTGCCTATCTCTGTATACCAACAAAGCATGCTTTCCAGCCCTGATGGCTCTTCCATGCTGCCCTCTCCACATGATAAGCGCATATAATTTGATCATGTTGTGCTGTTGTGGTCTTGTATTCTGTTTGTGTGTGGCGTGTGGTTTAGTATGTGCATTTGATATCAGGGCATCGTCATTTAAGATATTGAAGGGAAGCAGCAGGGAGAGGGAATAGTTTTTTTTTCAAAGGCAAGGCAAATGACAATTCCAAGGTGTTTTCAGTTAGGGTTGTTAGAGTTGTTGAAGGTAAGGATTTGCGTGCCAGTTCTTAGGTTCTTTCTGGGTCATACAAAAAGGAAAAGGAAGTCCCTGTGTGTATGTAAGGAGAGTGAGAACCATGTGTTCTTTTCATCCCTTCCTCTCTTGCGGACACTCAGCAGCTTCTTTGAAGGAGTGACAATGCCAACAGCTTTATGCAAATCCAGTGTGGTAAAACTACTGCATATGTCTGTGTCTACTGGTACTGTTCTACAGGATCAGTGGCTCATGTGACCACACTGAAAAGACTGTGATTTAGAGGGTCTGGGGGGGGGCTTTTTCATATATTTTGGCTAGTTTCTTGTTTTATCTCCAGTGTTGGTGATGGGAGAGCAGTTGGGGGGAAGGTAAGGAAAAGGAAACTTGTAGAGTTGGCTGTATCAGTGGGGTAAGTTCTGATCTAATGGCATTCTAGATGAAAGGCTGCAGGAATCACAGTAACAGCTTGTCATTTAAATGACTATGTTGTGTTCAACATCAGTAATGAGTATCTCTGTGGAATAATTTCTGGTGTCAACTGAAGAATTCCACTTCAGGTGTTTGCAAATTCTCCTCACCAGTCTGTCACTCCTCTTACTGGTAGCAAATACAGACTGGACAAACACCAAAAACAAACAGTAAATACAACACCAAAAGCCAAAGAAACAATAAAAAAATCTGTGCCCTTGTCTTTCCTATTTGGACAATAACATTTTGTGTCTTCTTTAACAGAGTCATCTGAAAAATTGCAAATAGATTGTCCTGTAACGTGTTAGGCTCTAACCTGTTAACTCCACAGTGTAACCACAGTGACTTTGATTAAAAGGGACTAATGTGACTTTTCTGCTGCTACATATTGTGATCAGTGGCACGAAGCCGAGGTGGAGGCCAGGAACGAGCAGGGAGCCCAGGGGTCTGCGCTGAGTGACGTCCTGATTAATATAATCGTAATTAATGGTCAGGATGATGAGGCAGAAATGAGCAGACAAGAAGCTTATGCAGTATAACAACGGGTGATGCAAAGTCTTGCACCAGGGAAGGAACAACTCCATGCTCCAGTTGAAGCTGGCATTTGTCTGGGGAAAAAAGCAGCTTTGTGATGATGGGCCCTTTGTGGTGGACTAGAAATTGTGAGCCATCAATGTGCTCCTGCTGCTAAGAAGAGTTAATGTTATCCTTGGCTGCATTAGGCAATGGCTTGTTAGCACTGAGAAAATGTAATTGCCTTTCTTCAGTGTTGGTGAACCATGACTGGAAGTGCTGGGCACAGTTCTGGACCCGCTGGTACAAGTTACATGGAGATAGCTGTGAGAGTCCAGGGGAGAATGAAGATGCTGATGAAGGGAGGAGAGCACCTCCCCTTTGAGGAGAGGCTGCGGGCTGAACTGTTTGGGGAGGAGAAGGAAAGGGGCCAGCACACAAGCAATTGCTGTTTTTTGTGATGCAGAAACATTTGTAAGAGCTCATTTCTACATGGTTAGTTCATGACTGAGCTGGGAAGAGCTGTACCAGGTGATTGCAGAAGTAATGTTACTTAATCCTCCTTGTTATTGCAAGGTGCAGTTCTAATCTACCTCTCTGTTGCAACCTTACGCAGCTGTGTCTATTTCTCCACCCCCATACTTATTTCTGCTTCTCAGCTTCCCTACTGGTCTGTTGTGTTTGGCTTTGTGTGCAATCCCTTTTTACAGTGCCTTAAGAATCCTGTATTTTGCACACTCGAGTGTGCTTCACTTGTCCACAAGGATGAGTTCTCTTGTTGTCTTTCATTTGGCACTGTGGGGACTCTTTGCTGGTAAGCAACACGCACACGTTTATGTGTTTTGATATCTTCTGATAAAAGAATCCTTTTACCTTGACCCCTTTGTGCTTTCTTTCTGAAATGAGCCAAGCAGCGTACCATACCTGCATCAAGTAGGCCATGTGCAAGTAGAGCAATTGGGGTTCCAGAGTGATGTGCAATGCAGCAAAGAAATAAATGCACTTAAAATTCCTTTACCATGTCTGTATTTCATTTGTTGTTTTTCATTTAGGAGAAGAGAAGCAGGATTATATTCCGTCTACTATTAATCTGTTGCATATGCACGGCGCATCTGATGTGGGATGCCTTTGGAATCTTCTAGTTCACACTGATTTTCCTCGTCTTGTGTTTGCATTAGGTGTTGTGAATGTACTCCTGACCACTCCTCTCTGGGTAGTGAACACACGGCTGAAGCTGCAAGGAGCAAAATTTAGAAATGAAGACATTGTGCCGACCAATTATAAAGGCATCATAGGTGAGCATCTGTTGTCCTCAAACAAGGAGGAGCTCCTGCAGTGAAATCCCACAGCAAGGACTCTGAAGATGAAAGACTCCTATTTGTATAACAGATCTCCTTGTGGAATCTCTGTACTCCCTTATCACTTTGCAGTCATGCAGTTTGACGGGAACCTGGACTGTGCCACCTCTGATGGTAACTGAGAGTTTGTTCTGCGCACATGTAACCCCAAGGCTTTCTGCAAAGGCACACGACATCTTATCCAAATCCTGCAGAGCCCAGTGAGCCCAGCAGTGTGCTAGCTGGGAGGTCTGCCTCTGGACAGACCACTTGCCAATTTCCTTTTTACTCACTGTCATCTCTAACCCACCCACACCTTCAGGCTGCCTTGCTCTGTACGGAAAGAAGAAGGTTGTTGGGAACAGGGTTCAGAAACTTAACATTGATTCTGAGCTTGGAGTGGAAAGACAAAGGCACCTGCATGGCTGGCAAGCTTTACTCACGCTAAGAGCGGTGTGAGGAAGAACCTCCTCTGTCACTGTTTTGCCATTAACTTCCCGTTTAGAAGAAAGGATAAAAAATGACACAGAGATGAGTGTTGAGGACTGTAATAAAAGCGGAGCATCAGCCTTTAAATACAGCTTCACTCTTCTCTAATTGGAATGTTGTGCTCATAACCATAACGGCTTTTTTCTACCTTATTTCTCAGATGCCTTCCATCAGATCATACGGGATGAAGGAGCCTTAGCTTTATGGAACGGTACTTTCCCTTCCTTGCTGCTGGTCTTCAATCCTGCCATACAGTTCATGTTTTATGAAGGCTTTAAAAGAAAGCTCTTAAAAAAGCAGACACAGGTAAGTATGTTTTGAGACCGGGTGATGGACGTTCTCTGTGAAGAGAGAGTTTCTTTGGAGAGATGTACATTTGCTTCCGTTTTTTGTTGTTATGGAGGTGTGGATGTTTTTGCTTTTTTTTTTTTCCCCCCCTGTTGTTGGGTTCAAGTCAGTGTATTTTTTATGCAGGCGTGTGATTGTGATGCCAAGTGAGCTCTGGATCTTCCCACTCTGAAAGAAGTTGTTACTGTGACAATTCTTCTTTCTGTAAAAATAAAGCTGCACCTCTTGTCCTCATCTGTTTACATTTACTTGCCACCCTTGATGTGCATTAGGCATTTAAATTCTAATGTATCTGTTTGAGAAACAGGTAGTTATACCTACCCTGTTACCCTCCCTGAAGTAAACTAAATATGTTGGTTTCCCATATTTCTGTTTGGAACCAACCTACTTTTATAATTTGGGGAATGCTCTGATATGGATTTCTAGTAATTTTTGTTAATAAATTCACAGAGATGTGAGCTTCTACACTTTCTTCTGCTGAAATCCATTCTTTTCACCTGCACTGATTTCAGTGTCTTTGGTGCATCCTGGACCATGATGGGTTTTGGAGGTGAGGATGGACTTCCTCCATGTGCAATTAACTACTGAGGCATGGAGTTTTTTATCCTCCGTTGTCAGGACTATAATTCTGCCTGAGGGGCGTAGTGGTTCTCTCATGATCATATATATAATCACATTCTAGTAGACATTCAGTCCATCACCTCGCCCCAAGACCGTGTTGTGGATGTGTTAGTTTGTGTGTTCTGAAGCCTGACCTGGTTGTGAATTGAGGGCTTGCTTACTGCTACTATACCTTATACTGCTTCCCATGCTGGTGCTTTAAGTTTGATTCAGTTGTATGGCTTTATCTTCACGTTGTTTCAGTAAGCTAGCTGGAGGGTACAGGTGAGAAATTCAAAAGCTTGTGAGTAGGTAGAAATTACAAACGAACTCCCATTGTGGGGAAACTGCTTGGTCACCCTGTGTTTTGACTCCTAAAAGTGAGATAAGCTCAGGCTTCATTATACCTCTTTTATTCCAGAGATGCTTAGAGAACCAAGAAGCAGGTAATGATACTGAACTGTGAAAGATATGCAGGTAACTGGCTGACGGGGTGCTTTGTGTTCTTTCTGTATTGAACAGCTCACATCTTTGGACGCTTTTGTCATGGGTGCAGTAGCCAAAGCAGTTGCCACCACCCTCACTTATCCTTTGCAGACTGTACAGTCAATCCTGCGGGTGAGTACTCTTCTTGTTTTCTTCTTGTCTGTTCTTTGAAGATGGGTACTGATGGAACTTGGCATTGCTGTTCATGTTCTCATGAGCTGTCAGGGTTGACAACATAATGCATTAGTATCATGTCCCTCAGAAGCTGGTACCCCATGCAGCTTATTGGCACTGCAGGATTGTAGCTTTACTTCTTTGGCTATACACTGAAATTGTGTCAAGTTGAAACTAAAATTAAATCCTCTAAGCCCTGTTTGTTTCCAGATGACATCGAGCTTTAAAATCTTTTATGTTTTTATTTAATTTTAGAACTGTTACACATTAATTTGTATTTTCCACTGTGCAGTTGTTGCTACCCTCACAAGATATTAGCTGTGTCGGCCCAGCTTTTCTCAGCTTCCCTTCCTTCTCACTTCTCTACATATTCCTTTGCACACAGTGACATCCAGGTAGAAATTTAGTTTTGATAAAACTCATTTCTTCTGAAACTTTCTCAACTTGTGATCATCAGCACAGCCAGCGCATTCATTTGCTGTCCTATCCTGTTTAAAGAGAATGGAAACATCTCAAGAGTTAAGTTAATAATACAGGCTTTTATTATTTAAATGATAGATTAAAAAGAAAATGACATTTAAGCAAACGTACCTTTATTTGTGTTCACTGCAGAATGGACTGTTTTTAATTTGTAGTGCCTTTTCTCCTGGCATGAATGAGAACTGTCAGAAAGCCAGAGTGTTCTGTTTCAGCTTTAGCATTGCACGGTGCTACAGTTTTCCTGGGTCTGTGTCAACAGAACAGCCTTAGCCCTCATTCCTTTCCACGGTTGCAGCAGAAATAGCTGCAGTTTTGTGACTCAGTTCCACGTTTTGTTCGTCTCCTCCTGGCTTCTTGAGCAAAGTGCTTCTGTCTCTTGGTGGCACTGTCATTCTTTAAAATGAGAGCTGCTCTGGGAAGTTGTGCTGATGGTTTGACGACAAACCAACTGCTGCCTCCTGCTTGCTCTAGCCTAAGGCAGCCAGTTTTTTGCTGGCTTGCCTGGGTGGTGAGGAGTCATCTTTATGGTAAAGCACAGCCTTGCTGCCAGTGTCCCAGTGCTGATGTGTGCTTCTCACAGGGACCCGTGGTAGAAAAAGGTATCCTATGTGCTGTTACTTCATGGCAGCCCATTCTTTCCCTGTGATACAAGGAATGCTTCTGCATGAAAGTTAAGTTCTGCCCTCAAAGTTGAATTATGGGGCTTTTTCTTCTAAAAATCTTCAACTTTTAGAAACTTCCTGCTCTCTCATAGTTGTCAGGGCTCCTTGTAATAAGCTCTCTATACCTTTGCTTTCCTCTTCCTGGCACAGTGCTCTTCCTTGTTCTCATGAAATGGGCAGTTACCTGTGTCATTGATAGTGCTGAGCAGCTTCCAGCTTTGCCTGTTGGTACGTCTATCTCCCTTTCAGTCATTAAAAATACGTGGCACTGTTGTTACTGATTATGTGGGGAAGCTGCTTCTTCAGCACCTTTGTGGATAAATTAAGTTCCCACTGGAGAAACAGCAGTGCTATTGGTGAGCACAGCGTTCCAGGGTGCAGATGTCCCCTTTAAAACTCACGCCTCATTTCCTGAGTTAGAGAATGCTCTTTCCTTTGGGAAATCTTTAACTTTTTGTTTCTTGGTGAAGCTCTGTTTGCAATACATCAGAGCAGTGTGATGGTAGAGAAGAGAGGAGAAGGAAACTCCCAATCCTGGTGGTGTTCAGACACCTCTGAGTAACATGGGCTGTAACTGGCACTGTAGCTTGAAGCTAGTTAGCATTTGAAAATGGATAGAGGTGTCTGACTCTTTGACAGTAATGCTTAATCTTGGTTTCTCAGGATCAAGTGGGTTAGTTGCTGATGACAAGTCACTGCTTGTGAGAACCTCTTCACCTAAATAGTTTCCAGTACGCTTTTGTTGCTGCTGTTTTTCAAGGCACATAGCAAAGAGACTTGTGTAAATCCCTCACATGTTCTTGCAAGCTGAGTTTTTGAGATCTAAAAAATTTTCTCCTGTAGAAAAACTGAAAGACAGCAAGCATGGCCATGTGTCATGCTTTCTTGGAATCTGTCTTAAAACCAAAACATTTTATTGTATCACTGAGTACATGAAGCTGAGTAACGAGCTTTAGCTTCATACCTTTGCTGACTACTATTAAAGCCAATTACATTTTAAAAGAGCTATAGGATAGACTCTTCAGGCTTTGTTACCATGTATTGGGTTCTCAGGCAATTAATGTGGGGAACTACTGCACTAAAATGCTGGTGCTTCCTTTTATTTTTTTTCAGTTTGGACGCCACAGATTGAACCCAGAAAACCGAACACTGGGCAGTCTTAAAAACGTTCTCTACCTTCTTCGAGAGAGAGTGAGGTGAGACTTCTTTGTATGTTGTTGGTTTTTTCTAATGTTGACAGTATTGCTGGGTGTGTCTCTTGTTTCCTTTTGCCTGTCCACCACAGCCTGAACTTGTCATTTGAATCAGCCTGATTTTTGTTTTTTGTTTTTTTTAATCATACTGTACTGGAGAAATACACAAAACTGAATTCTCTTTAAAGTCTCTGCAGCAGCTGGTATATGGGAAACCTATTGATTCAGCTCTGGCTTTAAAAAGAAGCAAGTTTCTTGCCCAAAATACTTAACTTGTAGACTCTCCTGTGAAATGCTTTTAATCACAAAAGTCAGTTAAGAGATCAAGAATGAATTGAAGATCCTTATGGTTGTCATTAACTTGTAATAATTCTTCTTCTTCTTCTTCTAGACGTTTTGGATTAATGGGACTCTACAAAGGCCTTGAAGCAAAGCTCCTGCAGACAGTCCTTACTGCTGCTCTTATGTTTCTAGTATATGAGAAACTGACTGCGGCAACCTTCAGAGTCATGGGATTAAAGCATTCGCACACACATTGAGAAAGGAACCTCTGCCAAAGGTTATGGGCCCTAGAAAAATGTATTTGTTTTTGAGACTGCACTTGGGTAGTAACGGGTCCTCACTTGCTCTTCTTTAGCCATCTCCATTCCTTGAAGAAGTTCTGAATGCCGTCTGTAGGAAGTGTTGCCACAACTTTGGGAATAGCCCATTCCCTGCTCTTCTGGGGACTCACTGTGTTAAGAAACAAAACAGAGATCTTACTCAAACACTTGAAATGAAATTCCTACTGCTTTGTGAATTGGCAGACAGTCACGGTGAGAACGATTCCCTCACTGTGCTGAACTTTCTGGTTTTCCTTTGAATTACCTTCAACTACTCTCCCTGTCTTTACCTTCTGTCAGCAGCTGGTGGGGCCGGTTTCTTGTTATTCTCCTCACACTATGTTTATGTCACTCAGTAATGTGGATCATTAAAACAATTCAGAAAGATCAAGATTTTGACACAGTTTTCTTTTAACATCACATACATGTTTGCAGCACAGAATGACTAGGTGTTCTACCAGAAACCTGGCACTGATGTTTCTGAGCTGCTACTGTGAATGCTAGCAGCAAGTAGGCACGGTGCTTTCCAGAGCCCACAGGCAAATATTCAGTGCAGACACTGGGTAGAAAAGGGAAGAGTATCCTCATGCTTTTACAAGGTGAGTGCCTCAAGAAAGTGACTCTTTACACAGAAACAGATACAATTCTGTATTTTCAGGTTCCTTGAGGAGAATGTGAATTCATGTTCTCATGCAGACAGGGAGCAATAGCCTGTGCTTCGTCAGTGGCATGCCTTCCCAGAAATGGGTTTTAGTTGTTTTTCCATGGATCTTCCCAGACATTTTCTTGACCAGAAGGCCAAAGGGTCATGATTGTTGTCCCAGCTAATGCAAGCGTGTATGTGCTTTATGCAGAATTTTGTTTAGTCATCCTTGGCCATAAAATGCACATAAATACTGCTGTCTGTCAAGAAGTCTGCAGCAGAATTCTTCTGAAGTATGGTCTTATAGTTGAAGTATTGAGAAAGTCTACAGTAGTTTAACGCCAGTGATGTCTGGGAGAAGTGCTGCAGGAGGTTTGTTGAACTGTGAAATGGTATCTTCCTCCCCTTCCCCCCCCAGTTTGGATCAATTGTGCACATGAAATGAGAACGTCTTTCTGCCTTCTTTTGCACAAGAATAAATTGGACTTAAGGTTCAGAAAGTATTGAGAGTATCAGTGTACAATAAAGCTGTACTTTGTGCTCTGTTTGGTTCTTTTCAGCCCAAATGGCATTTGCATATGGCATCAAGAGGAATGAGTAAGCACAATGAGCTGGAGTTATACTTTGCTACATGACAGGAAATCTCCTGAGATGATGTAGACCTCACTGGTGGTAAAGAAGCAATCACACTTCTGAGAAGTGCAGTGAAAATGTTCTGTTGACTGAAATGAGGGATCACTTAGAAAGACGATGTGATGTGTCTTGCTGTTTCTAATAAGAAATTCCCTGTTGTTGGAATGGCTCTTGGTAAACCACTTTGGGTATAGAAGGATCAGTGGCATTCTTGCTCAGAATAATTGCAGGTGAGCTGGAAGGCTGCTGGTTTTATGTAAATACCAAATGTTTCTGATACCACTTCAGCTGAAATCTGTGGCTGCTGGAAGCTCTAATGCAGTGTCTTGCAGACTTTTTGGTCTGTGTTGACGTTGCAGGTGTTTGTGCTGACAGCCTTAAGACTGAGATTGCTGCTACCGCTGCACTGCTTTTCTCCTGTGTGCCTAGGAGCTAGCTGCATGTTCCAGCCAAAAACTGCATCCTTTCACTTCTAGAGAACACGAAGTGTTTTCATTTCAAAATGAAAATCAGTCTTTATAAAAATACTGTTATGAAAGGAAGGATTGTTATGAAGGACAGCAGCAAAATCTGAGCCAAGTTCTCACGGGTAACCGTTCCTTCTTTGGCTCGGTGTAGGGGATCTAAATTGAATCCCATCTTTTCTGTACCTCACCCCAAGCCTAGACCCAAGTGAAGAGACATCTGTGGCAGCTTAGTCTGCTAAGAGAGCAGCTACTCAGACACCTTGATGTTAGGGGTGCTTTCTGCTTCTATTTACATCTTTGAACCCGCCTCGTTGCTGTGCTGATTAATTGCCTGTATGAGTAATAGCAGAACTGTATTTAATGTGGTGGTTGCAATCCAGAAGGACCAGTGACCTGCTAGTTCTTACAAGTGTTTTTTGTACTGAATGTTGATTCTGAGGGTACAGATTGAGAGCTGATGAGGTATAATGTACCCTCTTTGTCCTAAATAGTGTCATCAAATTGCTGAATACTGCTCCATGTCCATTCCTGCAGTAGAGTCATTCCCTTGCACGGTTTGCTGGCTAACCCAAAGAAAGCTGATATATAACCTGTGCAGAAGTAAGAACAAGATTTACTTCCCATCTGTCCAAGGGGAATAGAGCCTGCTGGACTGCAAAGCCCCTGGTACAGATTAATCTTTCCATTGCGCATCTTATTGCTCATCTGCTGAGGAAGGAAAAGGGGAGTGCTTACCCTGCTCCTCGTCTACCTGTTGTGAAGGCAGGCAAACACAGTCCTAGAAGTGGGAGCAAACTGTCATAATGGGTATTCCTGCCACAGGGCTTTGGTGGAAAATGCAGTGATTTGCCTACCAAACCCCCTGCTGCTTGCAGCTGCTGTGCCTCCTAGCAGATGCCTCTCACCTTTAGGGCACGCTCCAACAGGGCAAGCTGCAAAGACAAAATCGAAGTGAGCTTCCATGGTATGGAGGGTGTCAGGTCACACTGCTAAGCAAATAAAGCTGTGCACATCCATATTGCATGCACAGAGCTGCTCAGCCCCCCAACTGTAGGCCCTGATTGCAGCAGGAGGAGGGGACAGCAGTTATCTGGGGCCCTATGAGCAGTGAGAGCCTTCACTTTTACAATCACTAAAAATACAATGCATATTTTTCTGGAATTGGTTGGATAGGGATGCTTTCTTGCAGGATACCACATTATTTTGTGCTTTTCATTTGCAGCATAGCTTGTCACATTTGGCTGCATTTTTTTTTTTTTTTACCTCCTGCAGGATGTAATGTGTGTCCCCAGGCTCTTCCCTTGGGGCTTGGACACAAAAACAGCATGAAGGTCTTTGGGAAATCTCCCAGAAATTATGACATTCAGGTGGTCATCTGAAGTAATACAAAGGCATCCTGATTTGCAGGAGGGAACCACATTAGTCTGAGCTCTCCCAGAGATCCGCTTATACCAGGAGAGCTGCAGTCGTCAGCGCTCTTTACCCAGCTGCCCTCACTGTGGGTGCTGCTTTTATTCTTAGCAGAGCTAATCTCATCTGTGCACTTACATCCAGATATGGAGCACATTTGATTTTTTTTTTTAGTTTTCCTTCCGATAAGATTTATGTGGAATTAGACAAATGCTGAGCACTTTGGCAGGCTTCCCTGTGGCTTCCTTGCTGAGAATTGTCGCTTTAAAATTCTTGGTGTGGCCTTGGCAGATCTTAATCTGGGATTGATAGGTGATCTCAGCCTGTCTAGGTAGATTACACATGTGGTGGGGCCCCATTACATGCTCCTTTGTCTCAGCACAATGGTGGGACATCGAGAGGCATGCAGTTGTCCTTTTGTACAAGAAATCTTGTCTGTGCCCTTGTTTTGTGGAGTGTGTCCTTCTTTCAGAGTCCTTGAGAAGCGGTGCTGACTTGCTGATGTGAAGCTGTTACAAAGTGCTGCCTTTCATGAATGCTGATGGCAGAAAACTAATTTGATGGATTTTTCTCATCATCTTTCCCTGTGCACATGCCCCTGCAGCCCTAAGCCTCAGAGCCATCCCTTGCATATGAAATAAAGCTCTTCCTCCCTTTGCGATCATTTATCCTTCGTTTCTCTGAATCAGTTACCCGGAAACAAGAAGAGTACTCACCCGCAGGATTGACTGTACAGTCTGCAAAGGATAAGTGAGGGTGGTGGCAACTGCTTTGGCTACTGCACCCATGACAAAAGCATCCAAAGATGTGAGCTGTTCAATACAGAAAGAACACAAAGCACCCTGTCAGCCAGTTACCTGCATATCTTTCACAGTTCAGTATCATTACCTGCTTCTTGGTTCTCGAAGCATCTCTGGAATAAAAGAAGTATAATGAAGCCTGAGCTTATCTCACTTTTAGGAGTCAAAGCACAGTGAAACCAAGCAGCTTCCCCACAATGGGAGTTCATTTGTAATTTCTACCTACTCACAGGCTTTTGAATTTCTCACCTGCACCCTCCAGCTAGCTTACTGAAACAACATGATTACAGCCTATTTCATTGGAAGAAAGTGTGAAAGCTCACATCTGTGTGACTTCATTACTGAAAATTAGTAGGTGTCCATATCAGAGCATTCTCCAAATTATAATTTACTTGAGGAAGGATTACAGGGTAGGTGTAACTGTCTGTTTCTCAAACAGATACGTTAGAATGTAAATGCCTAACGTAGATCCAGAGCCCACTTGGCATCACAAGCCTGCATAAAAAATATACTAAAACCCAACAACAGGAAAAAAACCCGGTCTCAAAACATACTTACCTGTGTCTGCTTTTTCAAGAGCTTTCTTTTAAAGCCTTCATAAAACATGAACTGTATGGCAGGATTGAAGACCAGCAGCAAGGAAGGGAAAGTACCGTTCCATAAAGCTAAGGCTCCTTCATCCCGTATGATCTGATGGAAGGCATCTGAGAAATAAGGTAGAAAAAAGCCGTTATGGTTATGAGTACAACATTCCGATTAGAGAAGAGTGAAGCTGTATTTAAAGGCTGATGCTCCGCTTTTATTACAGTCCTCAACACTCATCTCTGTGTCATTTTTTATCCTTTCTTCTAAACGGGAAGTTAATGGCAAAACAGTGACAGAGGAGGTTCTTCCTCACACCGCTCTTAGCGTGAGTAAAGCTTGCCAGCCATGCAGGTGCCTTCGTCTTTCCACTTCAAGCTCAGAATCAATGTTAAGTTTCTGAACCCTGTTCCCAACAACCTTCTTCTTTCCGTACAGAGCAAGGCAGCCTGAAGGCGTGGGTGGGTTAGAGATGACAGTGAGAACAGAGATTCCACAAGGAGATCTGTTATACAAATAGGAGTCTTTCATCTTCAGAGTCCTTGCTGTGGGATTTCACTACAGGAGCTCCTCCTTGTTTGAGGACAACAGATGCTCACCTATGATGCCTTTATAATTGGTCGGCACAATGTCTTCATTTCTAAATTTTGCTCCTTGCAGCTTCAGCCGTGTGTTCACTACCCAGAGAGGAGTGGTCAGGAGTACATTCACAACACCTAATGCAAACACAAGACGAGGAAAATCAGTGACAACCAGAAAATCCCAAAGGCATCCCTCTTGCTTACCAGCACAGAGCTCCCACAGTGCCAAATGAAAGACAACAAGAGAACTCATCCTTGTGGACAAGTGAAGCACACTCGAGTGTGCAAAATACAGGATTCTTAAGGCGGTGTAAAAAGGGATTGCACACAAAGCCAAACACAACAGACCAGCAGTGAGGCTGAGAAGCAGAAATAAGTATGTGGGTGGAGAAATAGACACAGCTGCGTAAGGTTGCAACAGAGAGGTAGATTAGAACTGCACCTTGCAATAACAAGGAGGATTAAGTAACATTACTTCTGCAATCACCTGGTACAGCTCTTCCCAGCTCAGCCATGAACTAACCATGTAGAAATGAGCTCTTACAAATGTTTCTGCATCACAAAAACCAGCAATTGCTTGTGTGCTGGCCCCTTTCCTTCTCCTCCCCAAACAGTTCAGCCCGCAGCCTCTCCTCAAAGGGGAGGTGCTCTCCTCCCTTCATCAGCATCTTCATTCTCCCCTGGACTCTCACAGCTATCTCCATGTAACTTGTACCAGCGGGTCCAGAACTGTGCCCAGCACTTCCAGTCATGGTTCACCAACACTGAAGAAAGGCAATTACATTTTCTCAGTGCTAACAAGCCATTGCCTAATGCAGCCAAGGATAACATTAACTCTTCTTAGCAGCAGGGGCACATTGCAGGAACATGCACGCTTAGACACCAAGGGTTAACTCTTATCCTTGCTGAGAATCTGAGTTGTCAGTCCAATATAAAAGTTAACAACCTGGTAAAGAGATGTTTACATCTCCAAGGATAACAACTCTGAATGTAACTGCGGTGATGGTGGGCAGAGTAGTGCAAATCAGTGAGGTAAGTGAGAAAAAGGCACTGCCTGCTTAAACCTAACTAAATGAATCACAGATTAAATGCTGAATTGGCGTTCCTACCTCAACATTTTATTGTTACCTCGTTTTTGTGATGTTGACTATAACACCCCAGCAACTGTCCTACATCTCTGCTGTAATGCATCCAAAATGGACAGAGATGTGCACCTTCACTGAAGCCACCAGGCAGAGAAATTGCATCATGTTAGGAGAAGGAAACTCCTCAATGACCAGCTCTAGTTATAAAGGTATTCTGGCAGTCTTAAAAGTGCTGGAAATATACAGAAAATGAGAAGAGAGACAAAGATGAAATGCTGGTAAACTCAGCGTTCAACCACTCTTTTGATGCAAACACTCGGTTTTCCATCTTAGATTCTGAGTGCTTCTTTCTCAAGAATAGCTGGGGATAAACATTATTGGGACTGCTTCCAAAGTCATAATTAAACATTGTCTGTGTATGCAATTATTCCTCAAAATTACATCAAGATTTGCCTTGCTCAGTTCTTCTGTGCTGGAAAAGAAAGGGAGAAACTCCCTCTGCAGAGCACATCCAGAAGAGGAACGCATTCTCAGGAAAGTGGTATATTTTCAGTACATTCCCTTACCTGCAACAACCCCAAGAACCA